TGGTCCCCGGCCACGTTCTTTAAGAACCTGTCGGAGCGCAGATTGAGCATCGCCACTTTCGTCCTCCTCCTCCCCGGGCAACAAGTCTGATACTACACTACTCCGAGTATATGTCGAGTCCGAGTGCAGCAGAGAGGAATGCCGTTTGGGCGTCCGCTTAATATCAGGAGATCCACGATACACTGCTCGCCCGCCTCCCCTAGAAGAGCCAGCCCAGGGTGACATCCGACCCGAATGTGATGAACCGACGGTGGATGCATATGAGCCCTTTGAAGGAGGCCGGGAACCTGAATCACTCCGGGAAAGTGGACGCCTTGAGCTATCATAAAGTGAAAAGGACGACTGAGCGCGATGCAACACGGGATATTCCGAGAACTCGGCTGGATCTGATTCACTCTCGGTTGTAGAACCATCCAGATCAATCCCGGTCAGGGGATCAGTCAGGCCTGTAGGAGTCTCACTGAGTGGCTCCATTTCAGCCTTTGCACGGCCATCTCGACCGATGCGAAGCACTACAGACGACGAGCGCGTCAAGGAGCCGGTGGCTGCCGAACTAGATCGTGCCAAGGGGGCTGGACGCATGGGCTTTGCTGGAGACGAACGCCCTTTACATGGGCTCTTTCGGATTCCGCTGGTAGATGCCATCAAACCCCCAGATTGACTGAGCTGCCGGGACGAGCTAGGCAGGCCGTTATGGGTCATACTACGGGTTAGACCTGGTCGTGTTCCCCTCGGTGTGTAGTCGTCATCCTCCTCGTCGCTCTCGCTCGGGAAGGCAGTGAAAGGATCGGATCGGTGGCCATTTGGTGCCTGCGAACGGATAAGCTCCTCCCGTCTTGACTCTTCTGCCTGGTGGTGATAGGGCTGTCGAAGGCCACGAAGAGACCGTGTCTCTGGTGTCATTTGAGGCCCTCCGAATCTCCGAGCAGGGGAGCTGAGAAACAGAGCTGGATCCTCAGCCTTGGTGACCGGAAGCCGGGGAGAGGTCGAGAATGGCGCAGGAAATATGGCAGCATCAGTGGGTGGTGGTGCTGAAATTCCAAAGCCGTTGCCAAAGTCGGGAATGGAACCACTGATGGTTGGTAATTGGGGGATTTGATGTGTGTTTGTAAAGGCAGAAGTCTGACGAGCATTGAAATTGTTCCCGTTGCTAGGCAAGGGAATCTCGCTCGCTGTGTTGTCTATATCATGATCCCAGAATAGTCGTTGCTGTGGGAAGAAAGGCGAGCCCGTGGGATCCAATGAAGCCAGCTGAAAAAGATCGGGTGACGATTGGAGGTTGCCCAACATTCGAGGGGATGCTCCGAGAAGACGACTGGGTGTTTCCAAATGACCTCCCATGCCCGGTGTTGCTCCTTGTGTATGTCCATCGGGCTGGTCAAACTCGGGGATTTTTCGCCTTGATGCACTTGTCGGCGGCGGGGTTTGCATTGAGGCTGCTGACTTGGCCGATCCTACTGTTCGAGGGTAATCCTCGCCCATACTCGGAAGAGGCTTCACCGAGCGAATGCGTCTGGCCGTATCGGTCTGATCCGAAGACCTCCCCCTGTAGCCGGTAGTCTCCCCATTGTGATCTTTCAGTGAATTCGACGAGCCTAGACCGAACTTCTGGGGTGTGCGAAGAAGCTCCGGGCTGGAGGCATATGGATCGGAGGTATCCCAGGTCACCCGGGGGTCAAAAAAGCTGGATTCGAGTTTTGGGGTGTGAAACGGGTCGAAGGTGTTCGGAGTCCTCGTTGGAGTTTGAGGTTCACCGTTGGGATAGTTGAAGCTGAGCATAAACGAATCCATGAGCGTCTTTTTCACATAGGCATATAGTATAGATTGGTAAAAAAAAAAAGAATAGAAGACTACAAATGTGATACCCCCACAAGGGGGTCTGTCAAGGGAGAATGCATACCTGTGGACAGGGTGATCCCAACTCATGTCAGCAACACAGACCCAGTAACCATTGAAGATCAAGCTGCCAGGCAACTTTAATTGATTGAGAATGACAGAGATTGGAGACAGCAAGTAAGATCATTAGTTAATTCATACTGTGTGTGTGTGTAGAGTTTATAAAGGGAGGTATTGGAAGCAGAGTCGGAGGGGAGAGAGGGATGTTTTCCTTTTGCTCTGTTTGTCGGTTTCTTTTTTTTCCTTTCGCTCAAGTGAAAAATACCCTTTTTTTAAATTCTTTTTTGTCTTTTTTGTCTTATTATCTTTTTATTTTACGTGGGGACTCGGCTTTTTTTTTTATTTCTAACAGAATCCACTGATCCACAGCTCTCTCCCCGATCTTCGATGTTCCTAGTATGTACGACGTACGACATCTGGAAGTATGTTGTGCTTCATGCAGGAACAGAATATGAATCATACTGTGGTGTTCAGCTCATCTGAGTTCAGCTAACAACCTTGAAAAGTCAAGAGTCGGGCTTTCCCCCCTGTTTGTCGATCTAGACCTACAATAGTACTCGAGGGACAAGAGCCGTCGGGGAAGCCGATCCAGCCTTCCTAGGCAGTGAGATCAAAGGGGACAAATCTCACCAATGATGACGTGTGAGCTGTGGAGCCTCCGGACATGCGATATAAGTTGTACCTCGTGCAATGTTGTACGTGGTATGGAGGAGCCAATATTGAAGCTTCAGACATTCAACCTTCATAGCCTCAGAATACCAGACTATCAGACTATCCGGATATTCCACTTTGAGAACCCCCTCGTGGATGAAAGGGGGAAATTCAACCCCGTGTTCAGCTGGGGTAATCAGAATTGAGCTAAGCCCCTATTAAACCGTCTTGGCGTCTCTTTGTTCAAAGATTATACTAGTTGCTCCAGGCACCACGCCTTTCCCCGTACTCGCTTTGCCCTGACTCTGGTGACGATTGTCTGTACTCCGTAGGTCGATAGTAGATACAACATATGGAGGACATTCGAGAGTGTCTTGGATTAGACCTTCAACAAACAGTCAACTCCGATCTCACAATCTATAGATCTGTTGATCCTAATTTTATTCCATAGAATCTGTCTCTAGGGGGATGGATCCGACCAATGAGCCCCGGATAATCGGTTCTCCAGTTTATGCTGATCTCATATGTGATATCACCATGTTTGACCAGTCCATTCACATCTGGTCTACTCCGTAGGATCAACGACAATAAATCGGGATCCTACTTGTACTTTTGGAGAGTAGATGTATCAAGTTCGTTTAAAAGTGATAGCCGGGTTCTAAGGTGGAGATCAGAAATCGCCCATGAATCTATATTTTGTAGTAATTCAAGTATGTTGCACAAGGTATTTGCGGTATCATAATCTATATATGTAATTACAATTGATTTCGTACACTCCGTAGATGTCAGAAAGACAAACTGTTCTTGGTGCGGATTGCAGGCCTGATTATCCAGGCACCAAGGTGAGGTTCCACGCAGTCAAAGTGCCACAGTGCCACAGTGCCACAGCCACCGTTCCTGATCTGCTTTGACCGGAAGTATCAAAAGACCGCCAAGTCTTTCAGGTCCAAAAATAACATTGAACGACAATCAGATCTCAGTGCCGCCAGAAAGTCTCCCTCAATGGAATCGATGTGCGAGCGGCATCTAACCACCGTGCCCTCCATCAACTCATCAACCTCCTTTGCTCCATGAACACTCAGCATGGCACCAACAACTAAACCCAAAGTTCGCAAACGCAAGCCACGTATGAGAAAGAAGAACCGTGGTGTCCGCACTCGCGAAGGACATGCACGTCCGATAGATGGAGGCTCGCCAGTCCAACCGCTCGCCGAAGTACTCAACGAGACGAAGCGTCGTAAACCCAAGAAAACATGGGCGGCACTCATTCCTGTCTCTGATGATCCACTCGAAAAGGTGAGTTTGAACTGTGTTAATGTTGAAGAATAGTCCACTAAACATGTAACCAGAACATTGTTGAGCAAGTACCCATGCCAGATGGCTACGTTCTAGTCCCCAAGGGCGATGTCTACATCACTCGACACTGCCGCAGTAAGACCAAAGAGTCCGAGCGAATTGTGTATGTCGTATACGTAAGTCATTACCTAAGCCATCAGTTTCAAACCAAGAAAAGGACCGCTAACAGCCCCAGAACCGCACGGGAAAAAGAACACTGGGAATCCGAGTGCCGGAAGTAATCCACATAGAAGTGCTCGAATCAGCCGCCGCAACCAAAGAATCACGCGCCAATGCCGTGCAAGTGCGCGACGCCAAGGATCTCTCTAAATCGCGAGAACTCCTAAAGGCCGAATTCCCGCTTATGCCCAAAGAAACCCTCAAAATCGTCCTAGAGCATGCCTTCCTCAAAGGATCGGGACGTGTAGGGCGGACAGGAATGATCAGTGATGAGAAAAAGACGCTATTGGCTGTTGAGGCGCATATTCGACATGTCCATACGCCTTATGAGAAGTTGCTAGAGGAAGGTGTCAGTCGGAAGGATGCTCGTGAGCAGGTCTGGTCTACTATCCAGGCTGTTGAACGGGCTTGGCAGGGGTGTGAGAAGAGGGAGACTACATTGGCGTTACGTTCGGTGAATGATTGAAGATTAGTATTTTGTTTTCGATGGAATTGGGTGGGAATTGCATTGCGGGAGTTTGTCATGGCGTTCTAGAAGCTATGAAGCTATGAGGCTATGGTGTTTAAGATCACTCGAAGTTCACTAGTTATTTTTGTAAAACTCTGGAATACATCACTGGCTACTCTATTCTTGACCTTGCATACAGTAGGTAGGTTTATATGATCCATGGATGAAGTAAAACCACTCAGAATAGTATTTGGGATTACCTGGATGTAAGAACGGGGAAAAGAAGTAGGAGAACGATAGACGATACAGAAGAGAGTGAACAACAGGCAATATCTAACTAACGAATCTTGCTCACCCAAGACCACATTAGTTGTCAAAGTACATTGAATGCCTCCCAACTGAAACCCCATACTAAGCTCATCAATCCCGCTTTTAACCCCGAAACAGTGCTCATAAAGCTCAGAATCTCATCCAGTCAGAAAGCCTTAATCTAGAGGCGTCGACCACGCAGGAATTTGACTTCGAAATGCGGGTGGCGGTAAGGCAAACCCGAGAACCAGCCGAAGCCATCGCGAATCATTTCCTGCATGGTACCCATCCGAAGATTTGCGTCCGTCAATGCGTTTTCACGGTTTGGCTGGTCAGTGTCAACACGAATGTAGACATGTGGTCCAGGTCGCTCAGGCAAGGTTTGCAGAACTGGAAGTCCCGCTCTCTGAATGTGAGCCACTTCAGTGCGAGCGGCGGTCAACACGTCCAGGTCGAGGGTCGGCATGGGGCGAGAGCGAATGGGAATGTAGAAGATGTGGCGGTGAACTCCATTCTCTCCAGGTTCCTCATTCGTGTAAGCCCTGGTGGTGGTTGGTGTAGGTTCTTGGACAGTGTCGATTTCCATCGGATCAAGTTCCATAGGATCAGGTTCAGAGAGATCCTGCACGTCATCTTGAACAGTGGCAAAGCGGCTACTGCCCATACCAGGTCTGATAGGGCTGTGGTATTGACCAGATCGGTAGATGATACTGTTCTGGGAGTTTGGTACGCCGGAACGTCCTGTTGTACGGCCTCGAGTTTGGATTTGTTGCCTAATTTGTCTTGCGACTTGTCTAGGGATCGCACCTGATCCGCTGCTTGGATGGTTTGCCATCGTACTAAATTAGATTGTAAGTTCATGCCCGTCTCATACTTCGCTTATTGGAGGTCATGCATACCCGTAGAGGCCTTGATATCTCCCTTATGGAAGAGCTCACATACGGTGAGGTTTGACTGAGGATGAAGGCTTGTCGAAGAGAAAGAGAGATACGAGGCATTTGCCCGATATCAACAATACTTGCTCAGCTGTTGTGGCACGTGATTTTCGAAGCTGGAAAGCTTTTTACGTGTTTTGGGTGTTGAGGATAGCCAGATGGAAAAAGAAAAATCGAGGATTATCAAGCTAATCAAGGCCATATCTACTATTCAAAGAATTGAAAAGAATTGAGAACACAGTAATCATAAGATTCACATGGATTCTAAATATTTATAAAAATTATGATGCTATACAAAGCATAGCCAAGCTTTTCGAGAAGACTGTGCCTTATCGCTCCATAGTTCCCGATTAAGATTGCCAAGATGCCAAGACATACACACGGGTTGACCCCACAATTGAAACATGCAGGCATGTTCAATGATGTTTGATTCATGTTCTACTCATGTTCTTATATTGATAAATGAATTTGAAATCAAAAGAATCACACTTATTCACAGTCCTCTCTACCTCTGGATCTCCAAATATCACAATCAGCACTAGCTAATCTCCCTAAGCCCCGCTATTCAGGGTATTCAGGGTCCATCGCAGTTACATTAATCAGCTGAAACCAATGAGACGAAGCCTTCCCGAGGTTTGGGGGCTAAAGCTGCCCAAAGAAATCCACCCCTCTACCGTCTCTCGCATTTGTTATGGATCGTCTTCTCACCACCCACCATGAGGAATCGCGTGTTTCTAGGCTCTCCGAACCGGCATAAATATGTCCTGGTGGCCGCGATACTGACCCTATTCATTCTTTTCAAATCCGTACCCACGCCAACATTCAGGCTTGACCCCCGCAATGAGAAGTCATACGGGGAAGCCCGACCACGATATCTTCACCAGTCTACATTTCGTGCGAACCCAGACTATGAATACGAGATCAACCTTTCCAATGCGCTACGCGCCATGGAGATAGAAAGGGAAACGCGCCCCGATGAGGATGCGACAGGCACACTGTGGCAGATTATGCTACCAGGTGTCAGCGAGCGAAGCGACGATTCAATCCAATTCGAACAAAAGAACTCGGAATGGAAATACAAGGTAAGACCCAACAACGAACAATTTATATTTTGGTAATTAAATACCAACTTGAACCTCAGCGACTGACTTTTTATCATTCTACAGCTCGTCCAAGCCGACTGGGCCGATAAATTCATCTTCGAGACTCTGGAATCCATCCCAGACATTGCCCGACTCTACAAATCATACCCACACTCCGTCCACCGGGGCGATCTCCTCCGCTACTTGATTCTATGGTACTACGGTGGCTACTATGCAGATCTCGACGTCTATCCCGCACGAAGCATCAAATCATGTCCCTCACTACGCGACTTCCTCTTCAAAGACAATACTGTCAACGCGAATGTCTCACTAGTCGTCGGGATTGAGATCGACGAGCCCTTCGCATCCCCGCAGAAGATGCGCGACTGGCACTGGGCGCGACGCTACGGCTTGATCCAGTACACGATGTATGCGCCCCGACGGTTCAGTCCGCTACTGAGAGAGATCATCGTCCGTGTACTGTCACATACGAAGAAACGAGTTGACGGGAGTCATTTCTGGAGCGGCCGATACAACGAAATGGATACGCTGGAGATTACCGGGCCGGGCGTGTTTACAGATGCCATTCTCGACGTTCTATCGGATACATTACCATCTACGCATCGGTTAGTTCAGCAGTCTGCGGATGCGGAAGCTAAGTTCTCGTCTTCGGCTTCGTCTATACAGCGTGTGACGTGGGCCCCTTTCCACGGGATTCAAGAGCCGGTCTGCGTTGAGGGTCCCGAGGCTAAGGCTGGCAAGCTGCTGGGAGGGCTGTGTGTTCTACCTGTCAACGCTTGGGGTAATGGACAGCGGCATTCTGGATCGGAGGGCTTCAATAGTCAGCATGCTTGTATTAACCACCGGTTTGGGGGGACCTGGAAACCGTGGAAACAGAGCTGGCAGAAGTATCTCTTTGGTTGAGAGGATCCATGGATATGACTTGAATGATTACATATGGCGTTCCGGGGTGTACAGTATATGGCGTTTCACGGTATCCTCCAGTTCATTTGATCTCGAGAATTAATACTATCAAGGTCTTTCTTCCTAATTTTGATACCCCAGATTGTATTTTATCATGGTAACATATACCATTCAATGTCAAGCGGCCAATGAAATCAAAGTTGATCCTTTGTTAAATATATAGTTAAAGCATCTCTGCTCTACTTCGTTATTACGGCATGTTATTGTGGACTTCGTTCAGGGTCGCCTACTTACGCGGGGTCACGGTAGACTATGTCTACGCTGGGGTAATTTTCGAAATTAATATTATATTTTCTTTTACTATTGCTTCTTATTATCCTGAGTTATAAAGTAAGATCTCGGCTCAACGAGTGATCCCATCCATAATAGTTAATAACCTAGTCCTTACTGTATATTAGCCTTACCTATCCACTTTTTTTATATAGTTTATTATATACTCATTGATATATAGAGGATACATACTCCTACACCTCCTTAAATTCACTGTTTGGGCTGAACGCTTAGGTTCTTTTGTATGTAGGGTTTGGTAAAAAGAAAGGATTGATTCTCTATAAATAAACAGGGAGCTACTTATGGCATGGTCGTTGAACAAAACCTGGAAGCCAAAGTATATTCATTGGTTTTGAGTAACCGATGCTGGTGAGAAGAACCTAGGGATATTCACTAGGTGTTGATGAATATCCCCTACTACCTTCCAAAACCGGCAAGTAGTACCATCCTTAGGTACCAACCTTGAAATTAGGCTGTTGTTTGCTGCATTCCAAGTCCTTTAAACAAATAGTTGAAAGCGTGGAAATCCGAAATGAACCAACCATCGTTTGTTGCCTATATATATTCAAATATTGGCATAGTTACTGAACAAAACCTGGAAGCTAAAAGAATATACACGTGTTTCAACTACATTGGCCAACCACCGCTGTAATGGGGACGCTTCCTCCTATGAGGATGACCGGGGAAGGACTCGGAGCTTGGAATGCGAGGTATTCAACTTACTCGCGTCGTGGGGGAGGACGGCATCGGGGGCGGCTGGGCGCTGCGCGGTGACGTGGCACGGTTGTCAGTTTATATTCACATCTTGGTAGTTAATGGGGTCTTGCACGGTCTGTATTGAAGACATAAGGGGATTGATAGGGTATATCGATGGGAGCTTAGATTTTCTTCAGTCATAGGCCATGTTGACTTTGTCAAGTGGTGCTGTCGTACAAGTAGGAGTTTGGTGTCATGTGTGAGGTAGAGGAAGCACGACACGGCAGGATCAGGCATTGCCAACCTAGCACAGCAAGGCCCATCGTGAACAGAAAATGCAAACCAGATCAATAGAGTAAGGTGGTCCCGTACCAAATGACTGTCACATTGACGGGGAATGGGTTGGGATGGCATGGGCATGGGCATGGGCATAGGGTGACCACACGAGACACGGCCATCAACAGAAGATGAGACTTACTGGAGTTTCGTTGCTCTCAGCCATTGTTGCAAAATTGATTCTGATTGAAAGTGAATATGATCAGAGAAATGCAAAAGGAATTATGTTGGAGGTACACAATTTTTGTGTGATATGGGAGGCGAGGAAGAAGAAGAAAGCGAGGAAGAAGAAAGAGAGGGAGCAGGAAGAGAGAGCATTACATATGTGGATACTACCTCCAGGCTAGTGATAGCACATCAAACGATATCTGAGAGTATTCCTCAATCGTCTTCCACCATATGGTCAGTTTGTATTCACCCGCTGATCAGGCGTCTATCACGACAACTTGCCTGAGAGTCCAGCACTATAAACATCACCGCTTGGGATACCAGGGAATAGGCAGTTCATGATGGACGCTCTCCTAGCTTATACCTAGTTATATGGGTGAAGTATTACTCAATATATACCACCTATGAATCAAGTTTTCTCCATCCATGTCAGGCCCTTGCTCAACGAATCACAAGATGATCCACGTAGAGCAAGAAGAAGAAACAGAGATACAGATGAGGGTTTTGTATCTATCTACCGCCAAAGGGCCCTTTTATGCTCCATGAGGACAAAGAGGTCTCTGAAAATCAAGCACAGCCTCACTGCATCACTGCCTTGCTGCTTGATGCATGTGTATCACAATACCCTTCATGTCGCCTTCAGCTCGCCAATCTTCAATAACTTCAACCCAATGCTCGATTCCCGAGCCCCAAAGACCAGACCGCGCTAAGACCATATGTTTCTCAGGTGGCACACGATCAAGATCACCCTCCAGATTGAAGTATCCTGGTGTGCATCCAATTGCAACCCCCATCGGTGCAGAATGCATCATAACTTGCATACCCCAGTCCTCTGCTGCCTCAGTGGACGGCGCAATAACGAAGTCTGCACCATTGGCCCTACGTTTCGCTTCTGCCAATATGTACGATATGTGCTTCGCGTACTCGTCGAGGTTGAACCGATAGTTTCCACTTGTAGACGCCTGTTGAGGCCCGGAGAGGAAGAGATTGGGGAACTTGGCATCGATAACACCGTGCAGTGTTGTGGGGCCCGAGCGAGGCCATTCCTCGCTCATGGTGACTCCATTTAAGCCTATGACCGACATATTTGCTTTCTCAGATGGAGTGCCAGCCGGTGGTGCGAGGAAGCCTGTCGCAAAAATAACTACATCGGCTTGGTAGGTCTTGTCACCGATAACCACAGAGTCTGCCATCATCCGGTCGACACCCTTGCCATCGGTATCGACAAGAGTCACGTTGTCTTGGTTGAAGGTCTTGAGGTAGTCGTCGTGGAATAAAGGTCGTTTACACCACACAGGATACCAGGGCTTCAGCTTCTCTGCGATGGCAGGATCCTTCACCTCTTCATGCACGCGAGCATGGATGCGGCGTTGACGGGGAGTGTCAATCTCAACTAACCTGGCTGTATATGCGGGGATTTCTTCGGGTAGTTTAGGTCCATCTATATACCCAGTTAAACCAACTAAGCCAGGAGCGTGGGTCCATCCATCGTTGACCAGGTTGACTGCTGGCATTTTGCCAAGAGTAAAATGTTGGTGGAAGTTCCGCATTCGTTCGCGTTGCCATCCTTTCGACCTTGCAACCTCTTTATGGAACCATTCTTCATCTGTCTCTCGCTGGTCACGAACGTCAACTGAGGCCGGCGTCCGCTGTAAGACATAGAGGTGCTTGCACCATTGTGCGAGCTGCGGAACGATTTGCACCGCCGTCGCTCCTGTGCCGATAATCACGACCCGCTTATCCTTCAATTTGGCAAGCACTGGGTCTTTTGGAGATCCACCGGTGACATCGTAGGCCCAACGAGCAGAATGGAACATGTCACCTTGGTAATCCAGAATCCCCAGGATATTCGGTAGCTTGGGCCAGTTAAGGACACCAGCAGCAATGGTGACAAACCTTGAGCGAATCTGGAGAGTATCTGGAGATTGGCCCTTGCGACGCTGGGTTAGATTGACCGACCATTCCTTGGCATCATCATCCCAAACAATCTTCTGTGCTTGGGTTTGGAAAACGGCACAGTCTATCAGTCCCCATTTCTGCGCAACAAGATTGGCATACTCCCGGATTTCTTCGCCTTGCGAATACCGGTGCTTGGGTACATATCCCGTCTCCTCCAGATATGGAAGATATGTATAGCTCTCAATGTCACACATCAGCCCTGGATATCGATTCCAGTACCAGGTGCCACCAAATCCACCAGCTGGGTCGATGATGCGAATGTCTTCGGCCGGTATTCCAGCCTCTATCATGCGGACAGCATTTTGTATTCCACCCCATCCGGCACCGATGATGAGTATTTCGCTTCGGTTATTGATGAACTTGGCTCGGAGGGGTTGGACTACTGCTGGATCAACCCACGGATCATCGGCGAAACGCTCATACTGGGCTGATTTTGCGACTTCGATGAACTGTGCGTTCCCGTCGTCGCGGAGACGTTTCTTTCTTTCTTCCTCGTAGCGAGCTTTTATTTGGGCCAGTTGGGTGGGATCAACCTCATTGGGGGTGAATAGAGTGGCATTATCCTTACTACTGTTGGACATAATAATGTGTATTAATGAGTTCAAGTTGGATAGACGCTATAAGTAAAAAGGAACAAAGCCAGTTTATTTCAGCCGTTGCAATTGTTAAATCCGAAGTCAAGCTGCGTCAGCTAATTTCTTTGTTTACCCCGCGGCCCCCTGGACAGCTACCGGGGGCTGACACCTGGGCAGTAGTACTCAATTATTCATCTACCATTGGCTTGCTTGAAAGCCTATCAAAACAACGCTGTGACGCTCTATCCTCAGCATGTAGTGGAAACACCACTATCGGCTCGTGTTGTTCCTCGTGATAAAACTGCATTCAAAGCCCGCCAAGCCCAGCCTGATACTTCAGCTTTAACATTTTCAACGGTCTAAACAAACTGGCTCTGTTCTGTTCATTCTACTTGCTTTCTTTGGTTTGGGTGACCTTGGCGACTGGTGTCTTCTTAGCCTCAGCGATGGGTATGGAGGTTTTAGATGAGATTGTTTTTTGGTTGCGGGAACCGTGTCCTTCTTTCGTGGCTCTTCGCCGAACCCTTCTATTGAATTTCATCTACGATGATTGCTATCACTGCTGGATAAGGAGCCTAAAAGCCCCTCGCCATTTCTTTTGCCCTTTTGGACTTGGCGATTTGTTGGACAGAAATAGAATGAGATGCTGGTTGGGTAGGCGCTTCCACTGGAGGGGGTTTATTATTGACTGAGAAGATTTGGGTGTCAGCCAATTTCTTTGTTTAGCCCGTGGCCCTCTGGGCAGCCATATAGATAGATAGTTTCATTATCCTCGAGAACGATATACAGGCTACAGTACCTACATATATCCAAAGGCGTACATGTACAGTCATTTGAGTCTACAAGGTTACCCCACTGCCTGAAAAGAACTTAGGGCTTAAGAGGAAATTTGGCAAGTTGGCATTTGGGCCAGAGAGCACTACATCCAAGGACAGAAGTCAGCCAAGCGCTAACCTTATAGTCTCCACTTGGCCATCCATGCAGCAGGGCTCGGTCCTGAAAGCACCCATTTTTCGATCAGCGTTACTTCTTTCGCGTGTTCTGAGCTGGTGGAGGCACGCATCGAACTCGGGGAAGTCCACCATCACCTCGTCAATGCGGGCTTTGATCGTCTTGGGGGATTTTGGGGACTTGTTGGCCTTCTTCGATCCTGGCCAAAGTACTCTCCGGCAGAGAAACTGTTGTTCCGTCATCTTGGACGCTGAATCAAGTTTTGTAAGCTGGCTCATCGAGACGTCCAAGACCAGTAACTCTATTGCATGAGTTTGCCACTGTCTGGGGACCTTGGGAATACTGCTGCTAAAAGACATGATGAAATGAAGATGATGGATGGATGCTTGGGTTTGGAAGTGAGCAGAGTTGGATACGAAAGTGAAGGATGACTCTAGGGCTCTTATGGATGTTTAGGAAAGTCCACGTTATTTTCTTTGTTTCTCTCTTACTTCTCTCTTCTCTCTTACTTCCATACCAACAGCAACCCATTTTTAAATCTAGCGGCTTCGGAGGATAGCGGAAAGGTGCATTGCGGTGGCTGATACAACTTTGTCAAGCGTTCATTGGGCATGTTGCATCTATTGCTCTCCCTTGATCGTAATAAAAGTGGCTCAGGGGTCTATAATTCGTATTTCATAATATCTAGAAGGTCTGCAAGCGCTGATACTGGAATTACCCACTCCATCGAACTCTGACCAGGGAAAATGTCGACAAAGTAGGTCATAATGACCGATTACATAGAGACAGCCGTCTATCCAGTAATAAAAGTGGAAACGATAGGGACGACAATGTGAACGCGGTGGGAGTATTGAATGCTCCAGCCAAAGAGGATAAGTGAAAGATATTACAAGAAAGAAAAAACGGGAACTAGTCGAAGGGCTATTTCGATGGGGTCTTCTTCCTGGGTGAATGGGACATCTGATTTTTTAAACACACTAAAAGCCTCGCCTACTATATAGGAGTTTCATCTTCGATCACATTGCCTTATTTTCCTTCCGCAGCAGCCGCGGCCTTTGCCTTATCATCAATCGTCTTAGCAATAGCCGGACGAGCCTTGGTGCGGCTCAACCAGGAATTAACATGGGGGAAGTTCTTCTCGAGATCTATTTCGTTCGACCAGAGAAGCCCAGCCACCTCAAACCACGGCACAAAAGCAGCATCAACATAGCTGTACTTGTCGCCAACGAGATACTCCTTGTTCTGAAGCGATCGGTTAAGCACGCCGGAAACACGACGGATCTCGTTAATATAGCGCTCGACTGCACTGGGCACCTTCTCGGGGTGGTAGATCGTAAACCAGGCGGCCTGCCCAAAGTACGGTCCCTGGCCGGACATCTGGTAGTGTAGCCACTGCTTGCTTTCGTAGTACTCCTTCGAGCCGGCGGGGAAGCTGATGGTGTGTTCCTTGTCGTATGTGTCCATCAGGTACTCGAGGATGGCGCCGGATTCCCAGATGGTGATTCCGGTGTTTGGATCCTCGAGGGTGGGGACACGACCATTAGGATTGATAGACTCGTAGGGTTCCTTCTTTAGGTCGGTGAGATCGACCGACTTGGCCTCGTAAGGAAGCTTGAGCTCTTCCAGGATCATGAGGACCTTCCAGGGGTTGGGCGAGCCGGCGTGGCCCTTGAGGGTCCAGAGAGTGATGGTTTTGAGAGACATGATGAGTGAATGAATGAATGATTGATTGGGAGGAAGATAGTTTGATACAGAGACAACAAGGATCGAGGATTGGTCTGTTTATAAGTACTGGTATACTACAATGGCGGAAACATCAGAACATTAATTACTCAGTTCGGCACCCGAGAAGACCGAACGGTTGGTAAGCTAGATAGTTAATTGTTTCGCCAGCTGGAGAGCTAGTTCTCTTCATGATTTTCATCAACGTTTATTAGGCCTTGGTTATCAATACAAACCAGACTCTACAGTTATCACAAACAGCACAAACTATGCAAACAAACTATGCAAACAAACTATACAAACAAAACTGGTTGGCCCAGAAGTGGGGGGATCACTAATTGCGGAGCGAACCCGTGGACCACTTAGGCATTGGTCCCGTCATCAACACCGGAGTCTAAGCACTCGGTGACCTGAGTACTAGCTGCGCACACCCTGGGCGCTCACTGAGCATAGTTTGAGCATTATTAAGCATGGCCTATCATTCTAAATATAAAGTAGCACCCCAATCGGGCCTCGACCTAAATCCGGTACATAATGCTACATATATAGACAATTAACTCCATGACCTTGGAATGAAAATATAGTCCCGTATATAACCTATGGATCATAATATAATATACTTTACTCTATGAGCAAAAGCGGTGATACAACGGAGGTGGAAAGTTAATTAACTACTAGTACATATACGGATGTATATATATAACTAATACATACTACATAGCTCTCTTTTCTATCTCACACTTTTCATCTCTAAAATACCTATACATCCAAAACATGGCCTCCACTGACACTTGGATAACTCCTCTCGTACAAGACCGAGTACATCGGGACTTGCTCAAGCAAGATATGCAAGAAGATCTAGATATTGAGTTCGGACAGCTCGAAGATGTTGATACTGATTTCGGCGCTACCTTGAAGGATACCATTAACGTTGTCAACAATGATAACTATCGTATTCGGCAAAAGCAGACTGTTTTGGTATTATCAAATAATAATCCTCCTCTCCGGCTTCCGAAACTTTTGAAGATTCGAGTATATTGGGCAAGATTGCTAGGTTGGTGATTTGGAATAATGTGGGGCAATATTTCGGGACGTAGGGATATATTCAGCGTTTGATGGTCGTTCTTTTATATACAAAATGTATTCTGTTCGCTGGTTGCTTTATCCTTTGTGTATTATTTATTTCAGTCTGAGTTTGAGACCGGCAGGCTCAGGTGATGTCTGGTAACAATTACACTGATTGTGTTTCAGGTGCTAGCCTGACATCTACCTCTGCTGTTGGAGTCGACCCTGAAGCTGACTATAAGCCTGATCACTGAAATCTAAACGTATGAGATAACGGTCTTGATAAGTCACATTCACTGCTCTGCAGGTGGGAAAAGATAATGATACAAGACAATATGGTACAACATAGAACAACAGGGGGTATAATACAAGTCTCGTAAAAGAGACCAAGCCGATTCCAGGCCCCGGGAACAAGCAAGAAAATAAAAGGCCATGCCACGCAGTGGCTCATAACAGAAAAGAAACGAGAAGTGAGAACCACAGTCTAAACACCGTACATCCGCACATCCTCTGCATCAACTTCCTCGCGGCGGCGGAGGAACGTAGCTTCCTCGAAATCATCCATTTCCATAGTCGGCTGTTCAATCTTGGTGTGACGTACCGCAAGAATACGTCGACTTTGGCCCAAATTCGGAGACAGGATGGTTCGTCCATATGAGTTCTCGCGCCAGGATGCGCCGAAATTGTTGAATGATTCATCAGCATCCTCATCAACGAGAATATCACCATCCAATTCCAAAGCCCGCTTTTGGCCGCCCAAGGCCAATGACACAGTCGAGTCCTGACTGCTTGGTGGGATTGAGTATGCGTCACCATCGTCGGTGACGAGGTAGTCATCGTGGCTGAAGGAGGATTTACCAGCGCCAGAAAACGGCGGCAGCTCAGAAGGTCTGCTGTTATGGTAAGGTTGAGCGCGAGGGGTCTGAGCGACAGGTGCAGGGAGTGGGGCCTTTTTTTCTGTCTTGGACATGTGGGTTCTATATCCATCTGCGACAGATTTCCGGACCCGCATTCCGACGGACAGAAGTGAGGATTGAACTTTGGCAGGCACGACGGGGTGGGCAGAGAATGTTTCTGCAGCGTAATGGTGATGATGCGATACTGGGGGTGTATCTGAAGACACTGGTTCCGAGGCAGATGTGAAGAAGGTTGTGATAGGAGGTTGGAAGCGTCGACGCTTCGACAAGTCGGTGTTGGGTGGCATCGGCATTTTGGAACAGGGGTTCGGGATACGGGAGATATGTCTTTGAATAGAACGAGGTATGTGATTTCAGACCTCAGGGCAGTATTCTCTCAAAATGCCTAGGAAGTGACGTAGTGGAGTGTAAAAGGGAAGAAAAAAGGAAAAAAGGAAAATCGAGGGCTGCTCGGGCAACGGGACGCCACTTAACGCGGTACGCGTTGATCGCATATTACCACCCCACTTAGATCGCGTCTTGGAGCCCAATCTACTACATTTGGTTAGTGGACTTCTTTTACAAAGATACTAGTCTTTCTAAGTAATCTTTCTAAACTGGTCGGATTCGAAATGTAGTAAAACCATGGCTGTGAGGGTAGTATATGCTCTTGGTAGTCTATCCTGCGAGCCTGTAACAAAAGTAATGTACTGTATATAACAAATCATTATTTTTAAAGGACATGAAAGGCCTATCACTGGCCAACGTTTCCTCTGCGTCCACCTCTCTTGCCACGATCGACATGAGCCTTTAGCACAGCACGGGTCTCCACCAAACTTCTCTTGTTCTTGCTACGCGCCTTACCCAGCGTCATGAGGAAGTTCTTCTTGCGAGCCTTCTCCTTGTTGGTAGTACTCTTTCCTTGCTCCTCCTTACGTTCCTTGCGACGAGCCTCCTTGCTCATATGCTCAGAGCGGTCAGTCTTGCCCTCCTTGGCGTGAGCAATACGTTCCTCGCGAGTGGCCTTGGCGGCAGATAGGGCAGCAAGACCCTCAATCTCGCCAGCGGTCAATGGGTCATCGGTATGGCGTGAGGTCCATGGGGCAGCGACGCGGCCCTTGTTGCCTGGAAGAGTGGCCTCAGCTGCTGCCTGGGCGCGAAGCTCCGTAAGCTTGGCGAGATCAGCGGGAGTGAGAATGCGGGTGGTGGCCAGTTTCATGAAATCAATGGCTTTGTCGGTCTCCGCTTGCTTTTCGGCGTCCTTCTTGGCCTCTTCTTCCTGTTTGGCCTTCTTAGATGCCGGCTTGCCTTCATCCTCGGAGTCGCTCAGTACAATCTCAACATCGTCCTCCACATTGATCCATTCCCCATCGATATCACTGTCCTCGTCATCTTCGACGTTCCAGGCTGCCCAGTCGGCCTCGTCATTCTCCTCTTCGTTATCCTCAGCATCAGATGGAAGACCATTCTCGATGTTCTTCTTGCGGCGCTCCTCGTCCTTCCACTTGGCCAAGAGTTCCAGGCCCTCGATTTCGCCAGCCGCCTGCTCACCGTAACGTCTCTCTTGTCTGTCACCAGCGCGCAGACTCATTGCGGCCTCCTTGCCACGGTCACGCTTCTTCAGCATCTGCGCACCAACATCACGGTAAAGACTGAGGAGACCCTTGGAGGCCATCATGACACCCTTATCCTTACTCTTCTTGTACATGACAAGATCCTGCAACAGAGTCTCATCAATAGCCAAAGGCTGTCTGGCACAAATTTCACGAATGGCATTCAGACCAGCTGTCGCAACTTCACCTGCAGATGCTTCGGACACGAACTCATTTGCAATCTTCTGAACCAGAGGCTCGAGAACATCAGGCGGCACCAAGTCGTGGGAGGCTTGGGCCAGGGATGCCAGGAATGAAGTCACGGAAGGTTGGCGGGGTGTAAGGAACTTTTGGAAGTAAGAGTAAAGCGGCATGATGTGCAACTTGTGCAAGCCGACCAGGCGGGAAACCAGCTGTAGCACTTGGAGCTTTTGCTCCAAATTCAACTTAGACTTGCCGTTCTGGAGATGCTTGAAGAACATGTTATCTGCGAATCCCTGGGGATCATGCAGCAAATGAAGCGCGGAGAAGTTGAGGGGAGCAGGATTGCCCTTCTTGCGCTCCTTGTTCCTGACCGCTTTGATGGCCTTTTCTGCGACACGAGCCTTCTTTCTGGTCTTCTTGTTGATGGTAAGTTGGTGCTTAACCTGGCCAACATTGACCTCTTCGTCACTGTCTTCATCCTCCAATTCCTCGCGCTCCTTATCGCCGCCAAGGAAGAAACGAACTCCACCGATGATGACCTTCTCATTTTGCGACAAGGCTGCCTCTTTCATGATTTCAACAGCCTTAGCCTCGGTCCAGATTTGGCGCTTCCATAGCTCTCTGGTGATCTTGATTGCCCACAGGCCTTTAGCCGACGTGCGGTCTGATGTGACCAAGTTGAATAGAACGGTTTGCATAGTTCGGTTCAGTTTGTGGTTAGTGGTCTTTGAATTTGCGGTTCGCAGCTCAGAGAGAATCTTCTGGAAGAGCAGAGCGCGCAGGGTCTTGCTAGGTGTAGAGATGAGGATGGGGAAGAGAGTGTGGAGAAGCCTGGAATAGCGGTTAGAATAAATAGTAGGGAAGTAACGAGAGTAGTGCGTCTTCGTACGTTGCTGAATCCATAAGATCCTTCTTCTTCAAGAGCACCAAACTTCCGACCAGTTTCTCCCGCAACTCTGTCTCCAACACCAGGTGGTGCTGCATGAGCATGTCAATGAGCTGTTGCGGGAAGTCCTTACAGATCCCTGGGTAACAATCGGCCACATGGGAAATGAAGTCAATGAGATCCCGAAGAGAAATCACACCGGTATCCGTAGCGGATGAGGGTGCCGCCATGAAAATCTCACGGTGGGATTCATATTGGTAGTGTTGGGCGCGGAAATCCTCGATATAAGACCTGAATGGCGCAAAGCGGCAATTAGCGGCCGATCGAGTGCGATAGATCATTGAAAATCTCTGCGTATAACTTACTTGGGATCCCTGCGAATCTTGTGCTGCAAATTGGGCCTACGAATCGCAAAGGAAAGATGTTAGCATCACGGCCAGAAGCCTCTGATCGATTGATCGTGGGCGCATCGGTTCAGATTCAGACAAGATGGACATACAGATCAGCCTCAACCTTTTCCAAGGCTCCAAGCTTTCTTTTCACCATTTTGACGGTGGTAATAACAATGTGGTGGTTGGGAAAGGGTATGTTGGAAGTCCGAAACTTTTTTTTCTCCGTATTCTTCGTATCGATAAGCGATGGAAAATCTCAACCTTGGCAATATCTGATTTGGCTAGAACTATCGAATATCAAATTGTAAACATCGAGACAATAGATATCTGATCATTTATTACATTCTACATTCTGATCCACGTTCGATCTATATTGCTAGATCCATTCAAAAACGAGAATAAAAGAAATTTTTTCTTTTTAGGAAATAGGCCTTTACGACCCAAGGTCTTCATGATCGCATCACAACTACAAAGAAAGCCGTCCGAATGCATTCCCTTTTTAAGATCGTGCTTCCTCCTTGACTGTATCACATTATGTACAGCCTTGCAGATGCATGCGAATCCACTGAATCCCGGTTAAAACCCCGTCCACTCCAGTATACGCAAACAGAGGACCAAACGGAGAACAAATCCAACACAACCCCTTTACCGGTTGCTCTTGGCAACACGCTCGAGCTCGTCCTTCTTCTTGATAGCGTAGGAGTTGGAAGAACCCTTGGCGGCGTTGATCAGCTCCTCAGCAAGGCACTCAGCAATGCTCTTGATGTTGCGGAAAGAGGCCTCGCGGGCACCGATGGTGAGCAGAGAGATGGACTGGTTCACGCGACGGAGGGGAGACACATCGACGGCTGGAATGGAGTTAGCATTTGATATCATTGCCGAGACAGGCTTTTTTTTTTTTCACATACCCTGGCGACGGACGGTACCCTGGCTACCGATACGGGTGGAGTCCTCACGGGGACCGCAGTTGACGATGGCGTCAACGGCAACCTGGAGAGGGTTCTGGTCGGTCATGATGTGGACCTGC